AACAGACTTTCATCCGTATTGAATCGAACAACAACTTACGGAACAGTATTGGCATATTAGTAAACTGTCGAATATGTGCTTCGTAATATTGGCGAAGTTTCTCCGATTCTTGTTTGTGTTCTTGTGAAGCTCGTTCGATTTTTTCATTTAGTTCTTCTATCTTTTCTTGTGAAAATTTAAGTTGCTCCTTGAGACAAATTGCATCAGTATGACATGTAGTGGCATCGCATCGTCTATAAACTATATTACAATCCGCACATATCAATTCGATTAATGGGCAATGCTTCTCATGTTCAATTAGATCCTTTTTGAGTATCTTCGAATGACAACCAGAACATTGTTGAGGTTGATAACTACATTGTGTCTCGTGTTTATCGAGTGTCTTATATGAAACAACCTAATGCAAAATGCCAATGAAAGAATGATAGCGGAAGAGCAGCTAACCTCATTACAACCGTCTGACTGATAAATGCAGGAGACCTTCAATTTGGTGAGATGTTTAGCAATGAATCGAGAACATGGTCGTTGAATGAAATGATCGCATCGTATCGGACACTTGGTGTTGATACTTAACCATTTTGTGACACATGACAAACAGAATGAAGTCTCGCATGATTGACAACCGACTGGTTTCTACAGGATATTGTGACATATTGAACACTGAACATCACTTAAATCGATTCCTTGTGAACCATGAACACGATCAAATGAATTTCCTTCTTTGTCTGTCAATGACATCTAAAGAACAAAAGACACTTTAATGATTTCATATAGTCGCTGTGTCATGTTTTCTGCAAACAACAGATGCCAAGTTTTGATTTCAAAATGCCGAACTGGAGGCGAATCTTTGCAGAAAAGTGACTATTTGTTGAAGGTAAATAGATAGTCTTCATATGATATCACTTTTATTATCACTATCATGTTGACACTACGCATTTCTTGAGTTCTTTCCTTTTAAGAAAGAGACAGATATTTGTGTAATCATAGAAGGAAAGTTCTGCTGCATCGACAAAACGTTGATATATTTTTTTTTTTTGAAAAAGTATGTTCTCCAAGGAGAAAGAACAAAGTGCTAGGCATCTGTCAACAAAGAAAAAAAGGTCGAATCGATACTCACGTTTGCCTGTTGCTTGCTCTGTGAATAATGTATGCAACAAAAAATAAACTATTCATAATATTTCTCTTTCTTATGCGACTCTTATGAATTGCACAGTTCAATGTCAATCATGTCATTTCATTCGACAGAATGCGTGCAATGATTATTTGTGGGATAATTCACAGGTATTAATGGAAACATAAGTTATTCGCCCACAAAACAAGACTTGGACAGGGAAGATATCGTTTTGTTACGATGTAGAATTCGAGAGAAATGTTCAACGATTTCTCGTTTCAGATCTTACTGAAACTTAGAGACTGGATAACTCCGGATCATTTTGTTCGATGATGAGGTAAGCCTATTTTATGAAAATGGTTAAAGCTTTGCACAAGTGCGCGTTTGAAATCTAGAAACTACCAAAAAAAGTCAAGCTCTTTTTCAGAAAAGAGTGGAAATCGCGTAAAGAAAGCACTCGGTGTGGTTTTTGATGAAATGAGGAGGTATGAGTGTGGTTGTGGGCGTAGGTTCGTGAATACAGGTGTGCGTGGAAAGACAATTCAAGTCACACCTGAATCCACAGCCCACGTCCACATTCACACTCTCAAGTTGACTGCAAGTCAAAGGAAAATCTTGGAGATTTTCTATTCATAAATACTATTTGAAGTAGTCAGAAAATACAAAATTAAAAAACCTTCATGTTCACGATTGGAAAGAAAAAGGTTTCGAATGAGAAACCTATGGGCAATGTTATCAGAAGTGTTGTATGAAATTTGTGAAGTACAATAACCGACATTCTTGCAATGTCATTAAAACTACTTACTTTATTCGAGTGTTACCTTCTGGTCAGTCGTTTATTTTTAATGTGCAAACATTTCTTGTTTTTGCTTCCACTAATTTGCTTGCATGGACAAAAACAATTCATTTTTCAACAGTAAATACTATACAAGTAAACAACAAAAAACGTACCTGTGCATAGTTATGATGTCATTGCCGAACATATGAAGTCGAAAATAACAATGATAGATTTATGAAAATCATTAATATTAGTGATGCGAAATGAGGAGGTATAATTTAAATCAGAATACTTTGCTATAAGAAGCTTTGATATTGCTCCAACTTTCATAGAGTAGAATGTTCCTATTAATATTGCCAGAAAAAAGTTCATCTACGTTTGAAAGGAACTGCATTGAAGTATCCTACATTAAATAAATGAAATCAGGAACTATTCAGTTTCGAGATCCGATAAACAACAAGTATTTTTCCAAACTCTTGATCCGTAGTGGCTGAGTGTTGCCGAATGGCAACATAAAACCATTAGGTATCAAAGCACTTTTGCTATCTCTCCGATCGAACAACAACACATATGCACGAAAAGATATTTTTACTATCTGCTTAATGCTATCCGACAAGAAATCGTTCTAATTATAATATTTGTTCTGTCAAATAATTATATTTATAAGCTATTGAGATATATATATATGACAAATACTCTTATTTTTGTTATTATTTTCTTGTCTCTATTAGATCTACAAAGATATGTAATTTTGCTATAAAAAAAGATAAAGAAGAAAAACAATCAATCGACAACATATAAAATAAAAATAGATAAGTAAACAGATGATTGATAGAAGAAATTGGAGTACATCCTGAGTTAATATGTTTATTTGAAATTTATTTGTTCCAAGTGTTTAGTTTCAGTAGATATTGATCTTCTTAGAATGCTATTACGCCTATTGTTAATACCATAGATAACTTGTGCTGATGGAACATAAATTTTAGCTCGATCAATAGTTTCTCTTGAGTCATCAAAAAAAATAGCTGGATTAATTGATTGCAAGAATGGTGTTTTATCCAATCCACCCAAGAAATGTATCTCATCTATTTTGAGACCCCATTCGTTGAGAGTGTGAAATACTCGTATATTAGCTACGTCATTGCGAGCAGTAACCAAAAATGTACGTACTCTCCAGTTTTGATCATCTCCTAAGGATTGACGAAGTTTTTGTAGTTTGAGAGCAAATGATTGCATGGGACCCTTTGGTAAAGCAATATGTCCATGTTGACGTTCGAACTCGAAAAATCCTTCGAGTCCATCTGTTTTGAAGACACATTCTGCTTGATCTGAAAAAAGAACGCCATCTCCATCGAAAGCAATACGAACTTGACCTTCTGGCCATGATAGAGAAGCTAACAAAGCAGATGAAACGGAATCGGTTGATGTATTTACTGCAGGCGACAATTCAACCACGTCAGTATTCGAATTCGATTGTTGAACATAAGGAGATTCAAGTATTGGTGTTAGATTGGAAGGGATCGGTAGTGTTGTGCTTACTATATTGCATACTAGCGCAGCTGCAATGCCTGTAAATGTTTCACAACAAGTATCACACAGTACTGTACGCACTTGATTTTCATCTGCCGTGAGAAAAAGATCACATTTCCAAGCTGATAAGTATTTTGTGACATCTGTACCACCAGTAAATGACATACGTGTAATGGATAGGTTATAATGATAGATAGATTGCCGTACTCGTTCTCCCGAATAACCATCTTTACGAGAAACGAGTACAACTTCGACCAGCTGTTTTTTAGCGACTTCATTCAATGCTAATAGTGATCGAACAAGAGGAAAACCAACACCCGGTTCAAGAGGCACCATAAGATTAGCACGGTGATATTCTTCATATGCTTCGGGTCCATCACGATTCCAAATTTCACCTGACTCGGTACAATCGAATAGTGCTGAAGATGTGATGCAAACAACTAGTTCGAAGGTTGGCGCCATGAGAGTTGGTTTATTCTAATCCTATTTCTAAAAATGTAGAAAACAATAATTGACGTATTACAAATAACTATAATTTGGAGACAAAATAGAAAAGTTAACTGATCATAGCAGTCTCTAACGATACGTTTCCCTATGTGAACATAAAATGTACGATTGTATTAGTTGAAAATGGCAAATGAATCAATTATTGAGAAATAAAATGTTTTGTATTTCATTCAACATTGAATAACGTTTATATCTTGTACGCACTGTAGAAAACAAAAAACAATTTGAAGACGATTTCAATAAAAATAAATGTGGAAACCTCGGATTTAAATTCGAGTGTTATGTGTACTTCAAAAAGTGCAAACACAGAAGCAATTTCCGTTTAAGTATCTTTGCAGTAGGTGACTTAGCTTTCTTGTTTCTTAATGTTTTATATACCATTTTGTCGCTCGTGAAATTCTCTATCGAATGGTATATAATAATTGGGGTTTTGTTTGATTATGAGAGGAAAAGTTTTTTACGAAAAGTGGGATAGGTCAATGTTCGCATAGAAAAGCATAGAGGATAATGACTCTTTTACTGATAATTCAGCAATGGCTCGACGAATCATTCTCATCTTCGAACTCGACCGAGATATTGATCAGACGAAACTGTGTAGAAAATTTCATCGCGATCGGACTCTCCTTTCGAAAGTTATCATGTAAACCGCCGGATGGCCGGACACACTGACCAAATCTATAGTGTACTCACTTTTTGAGTACACAAAAAGCAATCCTAGACAATTTTCAAATTAACTATTGATCAAGAATCTATACTAAATTTCGATGGATATATTTATACAAATCATATTTTGTGTCTATATTAAATAATAGCAAACATACAAAGTTAGATGTCTATCAACTTTCTAAAATAATAATTATAGCACACGCAAAACCATCTATTCTTAAAGTTTGATTACAATTCTCAAAAATGTTTTGTCTTAATATCACATGATGTTTTGATAAAAGTAAAACGAGAAATACACAATAATTTAATTAAGTTTTTCTTTTGAACAATAAATCATCTAAGAAGAAACATATGTGCTCTATCTTCAATCTATTGCATTTCTCAATGATTTATTAACCTCAAAAATAGGCAGGAATATCTTAACAATAATCTAAACAGTGTGTACTTATAATTGTGTAATTACAAGTAATAACATCTTATACATAGTTTTAACTATTTACCAAGGAGAAAATATCCAGATTTAGTATTCTTTCAGTTATAGTCATAAATTGCTTAGTAAAAGATGTGTGATAGTATCGAAAAAAGTTTCATATACTAACTGTATTGTTAAACAATGCAGAGCGAACAAAAAAAAACGAGCAATACTATTGAAAACATGTCCTATATGACAGTATATGCTAGTGACAACATACGACTACTTCATGTAATCAAAGAAAAGAAAATTTTCATATATTTATTTTTCGTGCTTTCGTAGGATATTGTTACCCCAACACTATATGGCTATGAAAAAAAAGCCTGTCCAAGCAACACACGTGATACTTGATCGTTCTGTTTTCTTATTTACAATACGGTATTTGTAAATATGTTTTGTAGAGTAACTGAAGGGGAACGCAAAGAATGTAAAAAGGGTAACGATATTTTACTAATTGTGATAGAAAACGAAGTGTTTGTTTCAAATATGAAAATGCATCTTCAAAGCAATGGAAGAAAAAATTGAAATTCATTGTTTGAATGTATTTATTGATTTTGGTTTTCATCCATATCACAGATGGGACTGGTTCGATTAGAAATTTTTAAAAACCCGATCGGTTACGTTCGGTTCGGTTTGAAATTTTCAAGGTCTCCCACCCCTAAAAAATCTATCCTAGTCCATGAACGCTTAAATGACATGAAATTTTCAGGATATGCATGGGTTGTTGTGGAAAAGTTATGGTGATATAATCAGCCTGATATTATGATATTTGAGGAAGATACTAGCCAAACAAGGGTCAAAAATAGCTCGTTTGGCAGCCCAAACTTCTCAACACAGGTCTATGTGAGGCATTTAAGTTTTTTTTTGTTTGAAAGAGCATGGCAGGATGCAGAGCACCACCGAGTCTTTTTTTTAAAGTCTTACATTTTAAGCGGAAAAAAAGAAATCATAAGTTTAATGACTTTAAAAACTCCTAAAAAATTGCGACTTTTTTAAAGAGGTGTTTTCTTATATTATTAAAAAAAGCTTATTTTAAAAAATAAGCTCTGTGGAAAAATGCTAACCAATCCCATCTTTGTTGAAAGTGCTGCTCGATCAAATATAAAATTTTTCAATTTATCGTTGGTCGATTGACGATTTCAGTCAATAAAAATGCTTTAGTATTCTTAATTTTTTTGCTAATAATATAACATAAAAGTCTAGTTGATGATCTCGTTGATCTGATTGCTTATGATTAGTATATTGCGGAGTTCATTCGAACAAGACTACTTATCAGACTGTTCATTGACCACCAAAGACAAAGCAAACCGATATTGATTTGTGGTTGCTATAGTCTATCATAGCGTTCATTTGTTTGAAAAGCAAATGTTGATTTTATCAATCATTGTAATACTTCAAATGGTCTTCAATAAAAGAACATGCATAATGCAACATCTCTTATGAGTAGTCAACTCTAATCACAATAATTCGTTTTACACGAAATACTTCTCAATAGTATTCTTAGATGATTCATACAAGTTATAGCTTCATCGCTAGTTAGTAGAAAAAAAAGAATAAAAAAACGTCAATAAGATTAAGAATCATCGTAATGATCAGTTCGTCTGAAATGTTTGTTCTGATTATCGATTTCGAACAGCTCACGCTTGTTTTCATTCATGAGAAAAGATATTGTAAGAAAATCACAGCCTTGTAGGAAAAAGAACTTTCGTTTCTTCTGACTTAGCCATTCGATAATCTTCATTCGAATATTTGGCGTTATGTTATCGTCCATAAATTTCACACTCGATACGTGTTCATTGCGTTCAAGAATCGGTTTCATGCATTCTAAACTATTTGTTTTGACTTGTAAATATCGTACTTAAGGATATATAACAGACCATATTCGTGTAATAATGCTGGTTAAAACATTAGCACACAAAATACCCAATGTGTGGATATCGTGAGCTTGCTTGAACAATGTCGGAATAGCATCCGTATCAATGACAACACGAGATGTACAAATTAGTCAGATTTCATCGACATGCTGAAGATCAACAAGTGTTGCTAGATATTGTGATGCTTCGGTTGACAATTGACTATCGATGTCCAGCGTGAGTTGACTAACAGTACAATTCGATAGATATCCCGGTACTGTAACCTAAATAGAACAAGCGCTACAGTATTTTTCTCGATATGACTTATTGAGAAGATAAACAATAAATAACATGATATTTCATTAACACTCACAAAACGACTAGCTCGAAAGTATTGTTTTAATGTACTTTTCGAAATTTGCAACGAAGAAGAAATAGATGTGATCGACCTTGATCAGATATCGATTGTTTTGAATTTTCGAATTTGTGATTTTTCAGAGGAGAACTTGAACCGTCAACTTAAATGTTAGCAACAATAAACCTTCTAAGATCTATTTGAAATATAATCGCGATATTAGAAAAATGCACAAGTGATCAAGAACAGAATTGATCTTAAAAAAACAGAACCTCGTTCTGTCTTGTCGTTCGTTCAAAATGAAAGAAGAATATTCATTCCTCTAATGATTAACTATTTCTTTATACATAGTATGTTATTGGCTTTTCTCTTCATTAAAGCTCTCAAATTTAAACGAACATATCATACACTAGTTGTTTGTGCTTCGTCATCGTCCATCGTAATGCAGATGGAAAATGATATTGTATAGAAACCATTGCCAAATGGAAAACCATTTGCAGCTTGCGACGATGAGAAGAGGTCAAGTTCAGGCTTTCCATTTCCATAGGCGTTGTTATATTCACAAGTAATAAACCAATGTTTTTCTTGAAGCCAAAAAGGTGTTTGAAAAGAGGAAATAAGTGATTCGATTTCCTTTGTATCAAAATCATAACAGAAGAAAGAAAATTCGAATTGGCAAAGTACGGGTAATTTTATTGGAATAAATTTGTTCCATTGAGATAAATGCTGAAGAAATTTGAAGGTAATTGTTTGACTGGTTAGATGAAGATGAATAAGTGATGGTGTGGCGCACCGAAATTGATTTGAATATGCCTATCAGCATCTGAATATTATTCAATGTTAGAGAGGTTATTTGGTTACAAGAATTTGCGATGATACGTTCATCGATTCTGTTCACATAGCAATATCTACTTGATAAATTATAAAGACGAGAAGAATGAAGAAGAATAGAAGCTAGTTGCTTGTCATTACAACCACGAATATTCACTATTTGAATAGCACAATTAACAGGCCACAATATTTGATTGATAATAGTTATGTCGAAATTCAGCTCAAGATTATGAAGAGTAGTTTGTGCAATAAGAAGAGAGAGAAGAGAAAGAATATCAATATTAATATTTGATATTTCGGAATAGATCGAAAGTGATTTGAACTGACAGATTGATGTAATATGTTGCAAGATTATGGTCAAATGAGATTGTTTGGCATTACATATCGTCAATGAGCGAAGTTGAGTAAATAGGTGCAAGTCAAAAAGCGACAAAAACAATTCAATATAATCTTTTTCACCATTCCAACATACGAAGCGAAGTGACGCGATATTTTCTGGCCGAATTGTTCTTTGAATATGACGAAAGTTCACTTTTGATGTTGATACGAAGTCAAGTTTGTGCCGATTGTAAGCATTTGTTAATGCGTAGAAATATGTAGAAATGTATCGAATAGGAAAGAGTATTGTTTCCACATCTAAATAGTCAAATATTAGATAGAGAAGCTCAGTAGATAAGGTCAAAAGAGACACACCGTTTGTTGTATAGCCAATAACGATCACGTGGGTTTTTGTGAATATAAATGTTGATTAGTTCAAAAGTTGAGGAGTTTGAGTTCG